TTCAAAGTGTTAAAGAGCAAAGATGTCACTTTGAAGACTAAGGTATGCCTGACCCAAGTCATGGTATTTTCAATAGCTTCATATGCAAGTGAGAAGGGAACAACAAGGAATAATGCAGAATTGATGTCTTTGAATTGTGGTGTTAGTGAAGAATAATGAAAATACTGTGCACTGAGAGAAGAATGAAAAACATCTGCCCTGGAAGACGTGCAGCCAGAATCCTCCCTAGAAGTGAGAATGGCCAGACTTTGTCTCACTACTTTGATCATGTCAGAAGAGACCAGCTCCTGGAGAAGCCTATCACACTTGGTAAAGCAGAGGTTCAGAGAAAAAGGGGAAGAGCCCCAACGAGATGGACTGACACCGTGGTTGTGACGACGGGCTCAAACATAGCAAGGATTGTGAGGATGAGGCAGGGCTGGCCAGTGTTCCATTCTGCTGCTGTACACAGGGTTGCTATGAGTCAGAGCTGACTTGACGGTACCTAACAACAACTGGCAATGCCATACTCTAATGAGCTACGACCTACAGTTTGAAAGACTCTGCTCGAAATGGTCTCTTTGAGAACGAAATCCATTTGTGCTTCATACTTGTAGTCCCCACAGCCATAAGCAGAGCACGTTAGATTTAACACCTTTATCTGCATCTATTCTTACTATTTCTTCCATCTCAGAAGCACTTCCTTTTACTGTTCAAGGCTTTTCTCTTGTGCTTCTGATCTATAACAGACTTAGCACGAAGGGTAATCAAGGACAGCTTCCCTGAAGAGGTAACACTTCAGCTTTGTCCTGAAGGATGAACAAGAACTAGATAGGCAAAGACTAACAATATTTTTGCAGAAGGAATCTACGGGTAAAGACTTGGAGAAAGAAAAAGCACACCACAAGTGAGGCACCCAAAGACCTCTACTCAGCCTCTAGGGGTGCCCTAGAGAGGTTAGGCCACTCTCCTGTTTACGTAACCAGTGCAATTTATACATGGTTTTTCGAGACCATAAGACGTGACTGCAAATGCATTTGCATATCTTATCTAGTTTTACTTCAGTGTAAGTTACCGAAGGCCAAACTGTACTATTTATTTATCTCTGACCCCTAGTACACTGAGTGGTAAAAAGTATTCAGTGAATGTTTCTTGAAATGAAGAAATTCTTGTAGGTAATATTTATAAAAGTCCCTACTCTGTTAAATTAACGTAATGCCTTGCCAAGATCGTAAACATCCTGATGGAAGGGTTGATGGAAGGGTTGCCATTTTCACTCTTGTATCTGCTTGTATACAGAACAGCTACTTTATATCTGCTGACAGATAACATCAGTAACATTTTCCCCACATGCGCTTTCATTACAGAAATAAGTAAGTGAAAGATGAACAGAGACTACTAATATTTTAGGTATTTTCCCTACTTCATCTTAGGTTTACAGAATATTCTTTTACTAAATAAATATTTCCAAAAATTACTTTTAGAGGATAACTAAAAATACATAAAAAAGATAGATAAATCCATGTCACTAAGTTTCACAAATTTAATCACTAGAAACAATTCAGACACAAAGTTAAAGCTATCTCCTTCTTGGGCCCTTATTTCCCAAAAACAGAATTTTTTTGCAAGTTATGTTTATGATCTTGTCATACCCAGACAGCAAGGAAGGTCACATCAAGAAGGCATAGTAGTCAATTTGAAAAGGCTTGTATTGAGGAAAGATGAGATAATTTGAGAATCAATAAGATAATAAATGCAGTCAGTACACTGAATTATATCAAATGTGTTTAAATACGTAAGTTTATGATGATACTTAAACAAAACAAAATAAAACAACGGTTTAGCGAACTGTGTACCTAAAAGTCCACCACCAGAGGGTGAATCAATTCATTATTTCAGAAACTGGTACATCAAGAGAAAGAATCAAGCATTTATCTTTCCTTTACTGTATGCATTATATAACTAATTTGCTGCCAAGTAGATATGGGGAAGTTTTTCTTTATAGCAGTATCTAGTTCATCAATGAAGGAACTGTGATAGAGTTATCACTAATGAATTAGGGGATCTAGACATTGATCATTAATAGCTACTGACAATCACCAAAAGGAGCTCTGGTGGCAAAGTAGAGAAGGCACTTGGCTGCTAACTGCAAGGTCAGTGGTTCAAACCTATCAGCTGTTCTATGGAAGGAAGACATGGCAATCTACTTCCATAAAGATTTATAGTCTTGGAAACCCAATGGGGTCACTATGAGTTGGAATCAAATTGATGGCACTGGCTTTGTTTGTTTTTCAACAATCACCAAAAAGAGAAAACCAGAAATCATCTGTTTTATGATGAAAACCTACTGTCTCTATGAAGCAGTCTTACCAGACAAAAACCATCAAATTGGAATCTGATTAAGTCTTTGGACTGAAACCCACCCACCAATTTGTAGGAAACACAGAGGAGCATAAGAAACAATACAGGGGGAGGCAATCAGCAAAATTCAGACTCTGGAAAACTCTTTGGGACAAATGACCCAGTTTTTTTCAGAAACTACACTATACAGAGAAAAAAGGATAGAAGGGGAGCATATAGATGAAAAGAAACTGAATAGACATAGCCACCAACTGCAGTGTATGGGATTCATGTGGCTCCTGAGTCAAAGACACGAGGTATAGAGAAAACACAGCAACAACTCACTTAGGACATTTACGAGATACCCAGACATTTGAACATAGGCTGAATAACTGATGATAGTAAAAAAGAGTTATTGTTATTTTGATGTGGTAATATTGTGGTTTAAAAAATAGTCATTATCTTTTAGAGATACATACCAAAATACGGGAGGGGCAAGTAGGTAGGATATGGGTGAAATAAAACCGGCTGTGAGTTGCTAAGTGTTGCAGCTGGGTGATAAGTACATGGCAGTTCATATTATTCTGTTTATTTTTGTATAATTTGAAACTCTTTATAGTAAAATGTTTTAAAGATCAGTAATATAGAAGATCTGAAGAAAAATCTGCTTCTGAAAATCAACTAATTTTTTCTGGGAAGTTGATATAATGGAAGCAATGGTGGGTAAATACAGAGAGAAGATGTTTCTGTACCAGTAGCTGAGAAAGACTCATTTCAGTAATTTTCCTGCTTTCCAAATAAATGACTTCAGAATACCACACTACAAATGCCTATCAATAGTAAAGACAAAGGAGGGAGAGTTAGAGGGAGCTCATGTCTTACCCTTGCGGCTCCTGCACAGTCTTGTTCTCTACTTTCTGTTCACATTCTTTTATCATAGAATTTAAAATAACCTGATAGAAAGAAAATTACTTCAGTGAAATACAACTTACAGAGTGGCCCACTACAGTTTAAACTTTTTACTTAATTTTTAATATTACCATATTAATGTTAATTTATAACTTTAAGTTTTAGCAGTTAGTCTGTTAAGGAATTTATGTGAGAACACTAGACCAAGTGTAGGAACAGTTTCCAAACATCTCAATCAGTAAACTTAACAACTGATTTTGCTTTTCACAAACATTCCTTCTGAGCCTGACTCTTATTCTCCCTTAGTTTCCCCCTGTATCTAATGTTAAAAGCAATGTTTATATATTTATATAAAGTTTATATATATATTCCTATATATCTACATTTTTAGCATATACACACACTAGGTCACACAGATACATTCCTAATAAAACGGGTTCTGTTCCATGTCTCCTTGCCTTATTCCAGGTTGCAAAGTACAAGATGCTTTGTCTGAAGTCTAGAGCTAAGCCCAGATACAGATCTGTGGCTACTACAATATAACCGAGGATGTGATGAGTGTCTAGGAGTTAACATTATTCTTAATGTGAGACTGAGGGTGATGGGAGAGGTGAAGGGACGAAAGCTGTTGCTGAAATTGCTGGAAATCACACCAGAATCTGAACATCCCCTCTTTAGTTTTTAGCCAGTATTTGGGTATGGAGGTCACTAAGCCACAAATATTTCTGCACTACTTACTGTGTGCCAGGCACTCTCAGACACGAAGGATAAAGCACACGAAACAGATACTTTCTCCTTGTGGAATTTAAATGTGTTATACTTTTTTTTTTTGTTTTGCAAACCATGTACCCCTCTTGCACATCAGTTTCCTTTGTGCAGTATACATGGATGCATGTTATTTATGTGGGCATGTTATATGTGAAAAATACGGTATACGACTTGGGCAAAAATCTGCATGCCATTTGCCAAAATGGGGCAACAGAGTAATAAGCTGGTTATTTTGGTTGGGGAACTGACCATACTGAATCTGATAGATGCCTATGGGACATCCAAGTGAAATACACAGGAGGCAGTTAGAAATGAAGTTCTGAAGCTCAAGAATGAGGTCGGGGCAGAAGATGATGATTTGAGTCATGAACATACAGGTGACAAGTTAGATGAAGATCATGGATGACACTGTGCACAGAGAGTCATTCTAATGAATGAGAAAAAGAAAATAACATTTACAGTGAGGGGAATAATAGGGGAGCCTGGGAAGAAGATACTGGTGAGTAGGAAAAAATAGGGAGAGTGGTGGCTCAACAGCCTAGGAGTTTTAAAACAGAAAAAGTACTTTGACAGAGAGTAATGTGGTCATCACTGATCGTAAGGGGAGCAGTTTCATGGGAGCCGTGTGATGGCAGTGTCTGTGATGACCGTTAGTGGGAAGGCTGATGTGAAGGTTGAGACCATCAGGAAGAAAAAGAGATTCAAGGGAGGGATAAAGAAGCAAGGCCTGTTTTCTTTAGGAGAATGTTGTTGTTGTTAAGTGCCGCCGAGTCTGACCTGACTCATAGCAACCCCTCCTTGGGTTTCCGAGGCAGTATCACTACAGAAGTAGATTGCCCAACTTTCCTTCTAAGGAGTGGCTGGTGGGTTTGAACTGCCAGCCTTCTGGTTAGCAGTCAAGTGTCTTAGGCACTATGCTACCAGAGCTCCTTCAAGTAGGAAATAAATGATGAAAGGTTTTGGAGAAAACAGGAAGGGAAATAAAATGGAATGAAAGAGTCATGAGGAAATGGAGAAAGAAAATGTCTGAGAAAGTTGATGGTCAGAGACAATTAATATTTGCTAGCCCTTGACAGTTATAAAGTACTTCACGTACACAATCTTATTAAATTCTCATAATACTCAGTGAAGTGCAATGTGTTATCTCTACTTTAGAAAAATTGGGTTAAATTCCTCAAGATTTCACAAGTAATAAATAAATCCACAGAATGACACTGAAGTAGATATGTAAAAAAATCAAGCATACATATCACAGTGAAGGCTCACATAAAGAAGAATGAAAGTTTGTACAGGAAATGCCCAGACATACGACCAGAATGGCCTAATCACCACAGTAGCTCACCTCGTGCTCTGGAGAAAGGTGTTCCATGTCAGTGCGTAAACACCTGAGACCAGGTAAAAAGTGATTAACCATTAAATCTTCTGAAATGACTTGAGTCAATGTAGTTAAGGGAACTAAAAATAATAATAAACTGCTGTGTCCAAGAGAACAACAGAAAGATCACACTGAATGACAAAGCTCTTAAATGATGCCGATGGCAGGCTGACTTGCTTGCAGCCAATGAGATCCCGAAAGGCTGACACCCACCTGTGAAACCTGTCACTCATCTAGAGTCAAATGAGTTTATTCCCACCAATCGATTTACGTCAGCTGATTCATCATTTTCCCATTATATAATTTAAGTATATATTATGTAAACATATGAAATGAGTGTGAAAATTAAACCATGTATTTTAATTGACTATTTAAATGAGTATGAAGTATGGAAAGGAAGAGAATTAGTATTCCTATGAGCTAAGTCAAAAGTTTTTTCTGGAAAAAAAAAAACTAGAAAACAAACTGCTTGAAGCTGTTGAATTATGTATTCATGAGATAACTGTAACAGGCTAGAAAAAATTAAAAAAGAGAGGGTAATTCTACACTCAGTATTAAACATGTTACTGGATCCTCCTGAATGAAATTTAAACTGAAAATCAAAAGCAACTAGTTGCATTATGGATGTGGTTTACAAAGATGATGTGTAACTCTAATGAGCAGATTCAAACAAAAGAGAATGCCTCAGTCCTACAGCAAAAGATTGGTAAGAAGAAAATATACTTATGTATTTTAAGTTAAAATAAAATTGTTACATACCATTTTCTTGACTTCTTGCTTTAATCACTGTTTTAAACTGACCTACTACTGGTCCTCCTGACTGAAGTGGGTAAGAGAGCTTTTCCTGTAATTATACCTAAGTTTAGTGCTCATTATACTTCCTGGTCATCTGAGTTTCAGCTGATTACCTTGACATTAAAAGGAATCAGGAAAGCAGATACATTTCTCAAGATAACAATTTTCACCTTGTCCATTCACATCAATTCTGGCACATTCTCACCACATCACCGTTGTCAGCCCTATGAAATAGCTCTTATTTAATATTATATACCATATTAAAATGAAAATGCCAGCAAGTGAGTTCTCTTATAAAGATGAGTTTAATCAGCATTTCTTTTGGGGAAAAAAAAGTGACAATGTTAATTAAAATGAGTTTCATTAAGAAAAAAATATTCTAAATGAAACTATTGCCTTGAAAATAGTTACAAATAAAAATTATAAACAAATCACTTACAACAAGTGACTTATGAATGAAATAAAAAAGCAAACTCATTGCTGTCAAGCTGATTCCAATTCACATAGAGCCTACAGGACAGAGTAGAACTGCTCTGTAAGGTTTCAGAAGGCTGTCATCTTTAGGGAAGGAGCCTGTCACATCTTTCTCATATGGAGTGGCTGGCGGGTTCAAACTACTGACCTTTTGGTTAGGTGAGCACTTAACCACTGTGCCACCAGGGCTCATAAATTAAATAGGTGGTACTAAAAATACAGTGCCACAGAGTGCCCAATACAGTATCATCTGCCTGAACCAAATCCACAGAGGGCTGCAACTTAGTATTGATGTTGTCTTGTTCAGTAGATTTTGGGGAAATACCACCAAGAAGTACCACTGTGGGTGACCTTTGGATTAGTAGTTCAAAGTCTGATCTAGAGAAATATGGGCATGGATTGAGAAGCTGGAGATGCCCTTAATTTGGAGATAAGAGGAAGGTCATTCACATATTCTACTCAACATTTATTCTGACATTTCCCCCATGGAATCACAGAATCTTGAGTTGGAAGGGGACCCGAAGATCATGTTATCCTACCCGACATCAGGAATCATTTGTAATGATTGGAATGATGGTCAAAAGGTCTCTAAATGCTAACGCTGACAGGGCAGTCAAAATTTTACAAGGGAGTTCACTGCATTTTTAGAGAGCTCAATTAGAAATTTTTCTAGGGGAAAAAAATTGGCCTCTGCAACTTCTTGTCAGTGTTAGCACTGAACTTTAGTTACACAATGTGTCTAACCTTTCTTCTACACATAACATTTAAAATAATTGTCAAATTATCTTTTCATTATTATCTTGTCTCTTCTTCAGGTTGAATATTACATTCGTTCATGTTACATACCATAGGTTTTCCATGTCACCATTAAAACATGATTATCAGTGTTGAAAGGAATACTCCATATTCTGATCAGCTCAGAGTGCAGCGAACAGCAGAATAGACTGGACAATGTGATTTTATTTGTGGCCCCACCACCCTATTGACTCATGTACAAGTTCTGAGTCATGAAGAACCAACACTTTTAGGACTTCAACAAGGACTACTGTTAAGACAGTTCTTCCCTTTACCATGTGAATGCAGAGACTTTTCACTGTGTTTACTTCAGTAACATTTTGTGCATATCTGAACAAACAGTAACATCCCTTCTACATAAGTGTCTGTTTTTTAGAAGCCACTGCCTTTCCCATTTGGAAAATATTCTTTTACAGAACTAAACATTTCGACCTTTTGAATTTCTCATCTTCATAGAGACACTGTTCCATAGGGTTATATACGACTTTTCACTTAAGTTTTAAACATCTACTTTCCCAAACTCTGGGGAACATGTATAAATACACCAATGTTTTCTTTCTTTGAGGTACAAACATCAAAATGTCATGACTTTCTTGCAACGATCCTGTCACTTCTCCATTACTAACGAGTTCTTCCTTGATAATTCAGAGTATCAGTTCCTTTTTATTTTTATTTTTTTGCTTCCTCTTTCTTCAAGTTGAAAATGCCAACAAGATAATTCAAAAATCAGATTGTAAGTTCTGCTTTTAGTGGAATTAAATTGGAAGATACATGGATAGTGGAGGTTCACCATTATTAAAATATGGTGCCTCTGTCCACTTTATAATCTACATGATGAATAACATGGTTTATGTCACCCATACGACGAGGTAATCTGTAGCAGATTCCCAAAATAAAACGTTCTCCTACGCCTTGACTTCGTGTTTCCACCTACCAAAGGACAAGCAGCTCTTTAACACAGAGCTCCACGTGCCCATCCCCTTATTTGATTTATTCTGAAGATAAAATAACCTTCCATTCATATATTCAGTCAAGACCAAAAAACTCACTGCCATCGAGTTGGATCCAACTCACAGTGACCCCTCCTTGGGTTTCTGAGGCAGTATCACCGCAGAAGTAGATTGACCCATCTTCCTTCTGAGGAGTGGCTGGTGGGTTTGCACTACCAGCCTTCTGGTTAGCGGTCAAATGCCTTAGGCACTACGCTACCAGAGCTCTCATTCAGTCAAGACCTAGTGCAAAAAAGTGTCAATGGTGTTTTGTAATCTACTTACCTTATTTAAAATTATCTGTTCACATTGCTTATTACACAAATATTAATCCTGAAACTCTTTCCTTGTCTTCTCTTTCTCTTACCACTAGGAACCTCTCTCCATCATTACTTTTTCTTGTCAAAATCATGACTATCCGGTTTTATTGTCCAACATGTCCTTTACGAGTATTTAGCCTTTCAGTCACCTTTAATCTCTTATTTCCCCTTTCTAGAACTCCTGTGTTTTTTAAGAGGAGTGCCTCAAAGGTGGAGTTCATTTTGCCTGGAAGAAAGGGCATAATGTTAACTGCCCATCATTATCTCTACTTCTTCTTAGTTTTATTTTACTAGGGAAACAGCAAAGGATTGTAAAGGCACCAGTTAACTGGATAGCCAGCATTCTTTATTCTAGTAACAGTTTTGTTTTTAACTATAAAAAACAGAAGGAGTCATTAACGTCTGTAAGCCTTAGGTTAATCATTTATGAAGTGTAGAGGTTGATCATGCATGCTTTCCAACATCACTGAAGATGATTACCTGTGTTGGCCCTGCGCTTTCCTAACGAGTATAACACTCTAAGAGATACTCATAGTATTCCATTGGATACTGATGGTTAAGCATCCACCGAAAAAGCTAAATGCCAGGACATATACAAGGGTTCATCCTGATTAGCAGAAGTCTTAGCTGTAACTCATTCTGACCTTCATTTCTTGCCTAGTTATATTACGAACATAGAGAAAGCTTCAGGTTATGTACTCCATCAATATTTTCAAGTTGCTGGACGTATGAGCACAGAAGATTTTACATTATTTGTTAAAATTATGAGATGGTTAGAATAAGGGGTAGGCCAGTTCAAATTTTCAACTTTCTACAATTCTTACATAAGTGAGTTGAAGACAAAAGTTTCCTTTTCATTCTTTAACAACTAAGGTCCACTGTAAGATTAGTTAGTTATATAAATACAGATACACATTAATCAGCAAGGATACAACAACAGGAAAGTGCACTGTAGGCTTCAAAAAGATGGGTAGCAATATCCAGTCTTTTAGAATCTACAATTTGTAAGTTGTTCACCAGGGCTAATTTATGCAAATGTGGTATAACAACTAGAAAAGAAAAAAAAGAAATTGTTACATTTTTAAAAATCTATCACATGCACACACAACACACTTATTTTAAAGTAAGTTATTTTAATTTATAAAATTTCAGTTCTGGATGATTAACAGAGATTATCCACATCTTTTCCTATAAACAGGTTTTGGAAAACGGTCAAAAAATATTCTGGGGTAGATCCAATAGCCAAAGTAAAGGGAATTCTGCCCTCTTTTATTGTATACGGGCTTGGACTAAAATAAGGAACTCAGAAAAAAAACTGATCTGAAATGGAATACTGCCACTTTAGGAAATTGCTAGTGATTTTGAGAGAGTCTTACAAAGTAAAAAGTTGAAAATGAGAAACAACTGAATAATGTTCCAGATAAAAAAATTAACTCCTGAAATAAAACCAAAAGGTACTCCAGTGACTAAGAATAAGGAAAGCAGAAGAGCCACTAAGAGAACCAATGTCCTGCATTGGTTCAGAAGTAGGGCAACTATTCAAAATCTGTCTAATGATGCCACTCAGCAATTCCTTGTTCTTTCTCTAAACTCCCAAATGGAGATCTATAAATGCAGATGGATAACAGTCAACATTCCCTTTTTTTTTAGTATTTTATTTTTTATTGTCATTGTTGAGAACACATGCAGAATGTACATCAACTGAACAGTTTCTACATGCACAATTCAGTGATACTGACTATATTCTTAGAGCTATGCAACCAGTTGTTCTTCTCCTATTAACATAAATTCACTGCCTCTTAAAGTTCCTACCTAATTTTTCCAGTTGCTATTATCAATTGGATCACATACAGATAGTTCTTTAAAAAAGCATGATGCTCAAGGTGAACATTTTCACTAGGTGAGTAAGCTAAACTACTGCTTGGTTTTAAGTAGACTTCAGGGGTATTTTTGGTTTAAGATTATCTCAGAGCAATAGCTTTGGGGTGAATCCAGCCTCCATGGCTCCAGAAAATCTAGATTCCATGACAATTTGAAATTCTGTTCTACATTTAACCCCCTTTGATGAAGATTTTTCTACAGATTCTTTGATCAAAATGTTCAGTAATGGTAGCTGGGCAACATCAAATTCTTGTCTTATGGCAAAGGAAGCAGTTATTCATGGAGGCAATTAGCCACATGTTCCATTTCCTCCTCCTATTCCTGACTCTCCTTCTTCCTCTGTTGCTCCAAGTGAATAGAGATCAACTGTTGTGCATTAGATGGCCACTTGCAAGCTTTTAAGACCCCAGACACTATGCAGGCATGGGCAGTGTTTTGTTCGGTTGAACACAGGGGTGCTATGAATTGGAACTGAGTTGATAGCACCTAACAACAACTATGCAGTGAACTAAAAGGTAGAACAGAAGCACTAAACATGTTTATTAGGCCAATTAATTAGGATGTCCCATGAAACCATGACACTAAATCTCCAAAACAAGACATGAAATTCACTGAGGTGTTTGGGTCAGCATTCTTTTTGATACAGGTTGTACTTTATTTAACCTTAATCTCATCACAGTAAGACATCATATTCCTCAGAGTAAAGTTTTAAAGCAAAAGGGAAGCCATTTGACTAAGTAGTAAGCACAAAAAAAAAAAGTGTAATTTTGTCTTAATAAAGAAGTCTAGTTTTGTCAGATGTAAAGAGTATACAAGACATATTTGTATAAATACAGTAAGTTGTAGAAGGCTTAAGGGAAAATGGCTTACTAGAACTACTCAAGCAGTAGGAATTTCTATCCTAAATCTTTTCCCAAGTAACTTTCAACTTCATTACAAGAAGAATATTCCTTTCTTCTTTGTGATGCATCTCCTACAAATTTAATAGGTAGGCATCTATTATGTCAAGTGTAGAATGTCAAATAAAACAGAATTATTTTTGTAAGTTCTTGAAAATTCTAGATAGGCCTTACAATACCTATATCTAAGTATGATTTGAGAAATAACTATGGTCCCAGAATTCCTAAGAACAAAAGACCCCATACATCTAACAAAATTAGAGATGAGTCCTTAACAATCTGGACTTAATTGTCCCAGATTATCAAAAACCTTTCTTTATATGCATATGAATGTTAGATCAGGCCCTACAGAGGTACTAACTCAGCAACACAGTTTACGCCGAAGACCCACTGCCTATTTAGCCTATGGTTTGACCCAGGGGCCAAGGCTTACTGCCCTTGCCTCACAGAAATTATGGTCTCAACAAAGTTAGTCAAAGCATCGTGAGAGGTTGCCCTAGGAACACCAGCCAATGTGATGGTCTAACAAGTGGGACTATCTCTGATGTTAACTAAAATACCAAACATTTTTCTCTTGGTTGGCTAACTAATTACAAATATTGTTATTTTCTCCTTCTCATTTTACCAACACCCCTTACCCAGTGCAAAAGAATCTCATGGATGTGTTTTTATAATTAGTAAGTATCCATACCCTGAACAGTCTTTTTGGACACTGTAGTCCAAACCCTGACTTTGTACTTTTTGTTGATGAGTTTACCTTTAAAATGAGAAGAGAAAACACTACGCTGGATATGTAATAACTCATTTGTTGGAGAATCCAATTTTGTACTAAAACTCAGATGGTGGACCTATCTAGAGCTTGTCAAGCTACTAAAAACAGAAGAGCTAAAATGTCACAGTGGTAACTGATTGCTTTTGGAGTAATAATTACTGGATGTTTTGGTGCTACCCAAAGAAATTATTTTCATAAAGGTTGAAACCCAGAGTAAAAGAAATACTACAGAAATTAAAGAAAATACTCTAGAAGATCACCACACAGATGATTTAGACCAACAAGCTGTGAATTAAACATAAAGTGATGGGTCAGAGACTGACTGGCATGCTAAGTGGGGAAGAAATGCATATTGTTCATAAGAACATGTCTAGAAACATAAAAATTTCTTTGAAAAGAATTAACTAATAAGATCTAAATATAATGCAGCACAGTATTTTACAATTAATAGATATTAAGAAATGTTTTCTAAACGACTCGAAACCATGTTTGTAAGCTTCTTTTCATGTCTCCCAGTAATCAGTATACAGCATAAGGAACCATATTTTCATCCACTGATGATATTGGTCAATCCACAACAACCAGCTTGTTTCACTTTTGGTATTCAGTTTACAAAAGATAAAGTGCAGCCACACTTTAGTACTTGGCAAATGCTTAGAGAAGTGTCTGGCTTTGATCTTATAATTCAGGGAAGAAACAGAAAAACGCAACTTACACTCATCTCGGAATCTGGGCTCAGCATTAGGCCCCACTCTCCCAAATGTTCTGATGATCTCCGTATGCAGGGAATGCTGGTCTTGATACTGGGGATCTTCCAGGAACGAGGCCAGCTGCATCTTCACTCTTTCCAGCAACTTCACATTGGATCACACACAGTCGTTTTATAAAATATTTGAAAAGTATAGTTGTTAAAGAGAAAGATATACATTAAACATGGCCTGCAGTAGTGGCTTCAAACAATTTATGTCAACATAGTATTAGAAATTTGTAATTAAGTAATTTGTCTTTGGTTCAGATAAAGCTTTTATATCATTATGCACACTTGTTAATTCGTAAGGAGTTTTTTTTTGTATTTTTTTTTTTTGAGGGGGCCTTAGAAAAAATATTCCCTGCCAAATTGTAAAAACAAAAGAAAATTTTTCACAATATTTAGAGTAAAGGAAATAAGTTTACGATGATTTAACTAAATTATAATTCTTAAAACACAGTGTCAGTTACCCCACTGTTCACCTTCTAAAAGTAATGAGTCATTCATGACTTACATCTTACTCACATTTCCCTACAAGACATTTTTATTTTAGGATTTAAGAACATGTTGAAATTCTGTCAAAACTGCAAGCTTTGCAGAATGTGGGGCTCTTTCATGTTGCTTTACCAGTGAAATATTTAAGCAGGAAAATGGAAAACACTTCTTTCCACAACTAATAAAGTAGTTTAATATTTGCATTAGTGTTATTTTTTGCATTTAAATATTTACATGACAAAGGAAATTTATAAACTACTTTTCCTTTTTGTAAAGAAAAATGTCCATTATTAAATGGAAAACTTCATTTATTTGATGACGTGACTAGATTATATAGATGTATAAATATTTTATTTTCCAACCTAACAGGATTTTTCATTTGTATAAGGACAATTATAATTTGATAACAAAGAACAAAATTCTGTATTAATTTTGAGAAGTGTCTTGTCGTTAATGTTGCTGGACTTAAGAAGTGTGAAATTACATCAGTTTCAGAATCAAAATACAATCTTAGGAAGAAGAACTGGGTGATCCCTGCAGCCACAGCCAGAGGGTTTTTCAGCAGTGACGCACACAGCATCCACTTGATGACTTTTAAAGCTATGAATGACATAATTATCATTCCATCTGGGAAACTGCGATAGTTTGTGCCTTCCGATCTGTGGAAACTGGCACTCAGAAATTAACGAAAACTTGTCCACAAATCTATTGGAGAATAGAGGGCTTTGGAACTAGATCTACTTTGAAGAATCAATTAGAACTGCAGTGTCCAGCTCGGCTTACAATAGACCATCTGAAGATTAGCCTATCCTCCATCTTCTACTAGAGAAGACAGAGTAGAGATTTCCCAAGTATATGGAAACACACTTTGGTTAGGTTATCATGTTTTCAAATATTGAGATTGTCCTCTGGCCCATAAGTAAGAAATAAAACGAATGATATGATGCCCACACCCTCCTCCTCCACTACTTATATGGTAATGTGTCATCATTACGTCAACAATAGAAAGATATAAATGAATTTCAATCGTTTCCTACCTCTCTTTGAATAACTGTTTCCATAATAGTGCCAAAGGCTGGAATTGTGGCAATCCTGACAGAGCTGTTAGGATAAATGAAACAGAAACTGAAACTTTCTTGGAGATAAAAAGTGAATTATCATTGAAATGCACATAAAAGTAAGTATAAGGTAAGTATACTGTATTAGTCTCTAGCAATGACAAAATTAAAAAACAAAACAAAACAAAACAAATAAAAAAACAGACCAAGAAGAATGCTCAAAAAGCCAGACAGGATAACTTAAGGTCACAGTCTGTGAAACTCACAATTCTGGATCACTGGACAAGGTAACAAGGGCCGGAGCAACCCGCTTGTCAACTAACGCTTCACTCATGCCTCGAAGAGTCAGCTGCAAACCAGTCAACATGCAATAAAAAATGGTTTGGTAAACTGGAATGAGAACTGGGTTAGCTGTGACTGAGGATGGGCAGGCAGACTCACTGGCCTCTCTCGGTTTAGTCACCCACATGAGACATTAAAATGTTAAGCCCTGGTTCATGCCACTACACTTACTGTACAGCCTGTTAGTGAGATTAGCAGAGCATCCCTTCTTGCTTGAAAGAAACAGACCATCAGCAAGTCTGAGGTTTTGCAAGTGTTTATTAAGGACTAATATTACTTTTTTTTCCTTCAATACATGGTCTCCAAATTAGGCTACTGTGAAGTCTGACATGAAAAAAAGATATGACTACTAATGTGATTAGGTTTAAAATTAAGGAAGCATAATCCAATATTACTGTTTTTAAGAATTTGGGTTTTAAACGCTGATGGTTATTTCTTGACAAACAAATTCTGAAAGGGATGCTGAATGTGAAAGGCAGGCGCGGCACTTACATTTCAGGGTCACTGGAGAGAGTAATGAGGGCAGGGACCACCCTCTGGGCTACCAGAGTCTCATTCACCCCCTTCACCAACAGCTGATTGGCCGGCGCAGGGGCATTCACAGGTGATGCCCGGAAAGAGCAAACACAGTGCCATGGGAAGAAGGCAGGCACAACCAAGAGGAAGACAGAGAACACAAAGCAAAACCAAAATTAGAAGCTAAGCAAATACTGCTACTAGAGTGCTTTATAGGAGCTCTGGTAGCATAGTGCCTAAGGCACTTGACTGCTAACCAGAAGGCTGGAAGTTCAAACCCACAAGCCACTCCCCAGAAGGAAGGTTGGGCAATCTACTTCTGTAGTGATACTGCCTCGGAAATCCAAGGAGGGGTCGTTATGAGTCAGGTCTGACTTGACGGCACACAACAACAACAACAGAGTACTTTATAAAGGCAGAGAACACCTAGAGGGAAATACAGCTTGAATGGTCAGAGGTCCACAAAAACAGAAATGGTCACCAGTTCAACGGCAGTCTGTCCTTTTAGTCATAGTCTAGACAACGTCTATGTTCAGTTAAAATGGAATCAAAAAGAAGGCAATGCTTATTATTTTTTAAGGGGCTACAGAGAAGACACATACTGGGTTCTATGGTTAAAATTCTCAAAGTACTTTTGGTATGATTTTATTATGACTTAACAAGGTACAAACTGAACTTTTTTTTTTTTTTTAAACCAAAGTCATATGGCTAGCAGCTGTCACAAAACTACTCATGACTGTCCCTTAGCAAGTAAATTTATAATACATGTAAAGGACAATTCCCAATCACGTGGAGCACAAACTTTCTTTTTGGAAGGACAGAGATACAATGAGAACTACTGGGAAGTATCACACTTGGGAATCTGATCTGGCTTCAGATCCCAGCTCTCTACTTATTAGCCATGTGGCCTTGTTGTTGTGTGCCGTCGAGTCAGCCCCGACTCACAACGACAGGGTTTCCGAGGCAGTTATCACTACGGAAGTAGATTGCCCCATCTTCCTTCCGAGGAGTGGCTGGTGGGTTTGAACTGTCAGCCTTCTGGTTAGCAATCAAGTGCCTTAGGCACTACCTTAAGTATATTATATCATCTCTTGGGACTCTGTTTCATCATCTGAAAATGGTGATATTATCACCTACCTTAAAGACTGTTGTACTATTAACCTGCACCTAACACTGTGCCTGAGAAGACCAGGCACTCAAGAAATGCTGCTGTGGGTTGTTGAGTCAATTCCAACTTATATTAACTTAATAGCGACCCATAGGGTTTCCAGCAGAGCCACTGGTAGGTTCAAACTGCCAACCTTTCAGCCTAGTGCTTAGTCATTGTGCCACCAGAGCTCTAAAAGAAATGATAGTTTTATTATGACTATTGTAATAGAGTAAGATTTGTGCAATATTTGGAAAAAGATATTATTTAACTTTTGAAAGTTTTTGTTGGACCATATAGTTAACATTTCACGAATAGTTGTTTTACACCTCTCTAAAACCACAAATACATTTCAAAATAAACAAATATAAAAAATATAATTTAGATTTATCTCTATAATCCCATAATAATAATTAATTCAACAATCAACCATAGGGGTCTCATGAGAGAACAACACGAAACATGCCTTTGGTTTTTTATAAATGTTAGTAAATCATATGCATTACACAGAAACGCAGCCCTTGCTAACCCTACAGTCTCAGTTTTGGAATATGAGCACAATCAAACTGTTCACCGTGTAATGCAACTAGTCCCACAGGAGATCTAGGATGTCACCGGATTTTCACTAACCCACTGACATCACTGTGTGCATGTGAAGATAGTCTTACTACAGAACACAATCACAGAGGACATGGCTTCTTTAAGAGCTCTAATTTCACAATGGCACCCTGGCGGCACAATGGTTGAACATTCGTCTGCTTAACACAAGGTTGGCAGTTTGAACCCACCTCTTGGCTATGATCTGCTTCTGTAAATATCCTAAAATTAGCTTAAGAGACCATATGGGGCAGTTCTGCTGTCACACGGGGTCCCTATGAGTTGGAATCGACTAAATGATAGCCAACAACAACAATTTCGCAATACGAACTTACCATTTACCAACTTTACCATTTAATAACACTTTAGAATCCACTTCAATACTCTGAAATAGTTTTTATAAAGGACCAAAGATAACTGAGCAGGAATAAAATGACAAGAGATCTTTTGCTATTGCTTTCAACATTACAGATGTCAGGCAAAAAGAAATAGGATGAAGACCTTTCAGGCAAAAAGAAATAGGACGAAAACCTTCAAATATTTTATTGTTCAATAAAAGTATCAAATGTGCTGTTCTTTATTAATCATAGCGACCTCTCCTTGGGTTTTGGAGGCAGTATCTCTATGGAAGTAGACTGCCCAACCTTCCTTCCAAGGAGTGGCTGGTGGGTTTGAACAGCCAGCCTTCCGGTTAGCAGTCTAATTCCTTAGGCTCTATGGCACTAGAGATTCTATTAATAGCCTAGATTAATTAAAAAAGAAAAAAAAAAACCCACTTTCTTCTGTGTGTATCATTGTATGAACAAAACAGCTCAGATCTGAGTCATTTTAAAATGTCTGCCATCTGTTCCAGACAAAAGCATTAACCAAAAACAAACAAAAAACCAAAAACCAAAACTAGGATAATTTAGGGGATAAGCTAATTTTCACTGTTCTGGGTTTTCTAAGGTGACTTCTTTTAGTAAGCGGAAAACAACAACAAAAAACAACAGATTTAAGTGCTATCAATTATTATATACCTGCTAGTTTCTAAGCACTTTACATGAAATATATCATTGGATCTTTACACTCTGATGAGGTAAGTACAATTACTATCATTATTTTTAGCACATGAAGAAACTGAGGCTAAGAAAAGTGAAATAACTGGGCCAGGGTTCGATAACTATTAAGTAGCTGAGCAAGACATAGATCTAGTCATGTTCGACTTACCATGTCTTCTTTGAGTTGGGGTCTAATGTCACATGCTCTATTTTCTCATGGTTGATGTAAGAAAAAGTATATGAAGTTCTTTTCTGCATCTTGTAGAAATTCATTATGTCATATGAGGAGACAAATGATAAAGCCTCCTTAAAAATTAATTTCCATCAATAATTTTCCAGCCATGCCATGGAAGGGAGATGGGACAAACTATTTCCATATAGACTTACCGCCTTGGAAACCCAATGGGAGTCGCTATGAGTCAGAATTGACGTGGTGGCTGTGGGTTTGGTTTGGAATGATTTGCTACTCAAAAAGTAATATACTGCCTTTCATTTAACGATGACAATAATAAGACCAACTGAGTTTCCCTTTCATGTACTGCCATTTGAAAACTCAGCTAAATTTAGTGTTCAATTTCAGTAACTATCTCATCATATAACCTTCCTGGTATATCTATCATTTTTTTCTCATTATTTTATTTTTCCTTATTTTAACTGTCTTAGTTTCATCTGGGAGCTCCGGTAGCATAGTGCCTAAGGCATCTGACTGCTAACCAGAAGGCTGGCGGTTCAAACCCACCAGCCACTCCTTGGAAGGAAGATGGGGCGATCTACTTCTATAGTGATACTGGCCTCAGAAACTCAAGGAGGGGTCACTATGAGGTGAATGCGACTTGACAGCAGTGAGTTTGGGTTTTTTGGTTTAGTTTTATCTGTTTTTATTTTGAATTAACTTATCTTTTGGGAAGCAGGCATAACACTAAATGATAAAGTGTGGGTATCAAAAGAATTTGAATTTGAATTTGAATATGAACCACATTTATTCTTTTAATAGAATTTTGTTCAAAATAAAGATTACTGGCAAAAAAGTTACTAATTACTTTTATTGACATGGTAAGTGATTTTTTTGGGGGGGGTCATAAATGAATTAGAAAAAATATGGAAATAAGTCTCTCAAACAGACTCAGAAGTGCCTAATCAATCTGAGAGAACAATGAAAACTGCTTAAGCATAGGCATAGTTTCCACACCAACACTGACAGCAAACAGAAACCAAAATCAGGCTCAAGCCACACATAAGAAATAGGCAAAGAATAAAAAGCAAAAAGGGAGAGACTTTCATCTTATTTATTTAAATTATTCTCATTAATACGGTATGCTTTAGTAGTGCATACACACAGTTCAGAAACAAAGGATTGGAGAGAAATAAATAGTGTTTATGGTCTTAGAATAAACGCCATGAAGAGAATGCACTAAAGAAACAAGCCTTCCTTTTGCTTTTGGTTGAGGGTGGGGGAGGGCTGGAGAAAGCTCTTTTTCCTTTCATGGTAATGCCCCTTTTCTAGCATACTGAACGATCAAAAATTATTCACACCCGGAAGAAGCTTGCACTGGACAGCAAGTCAATTTTTAAATTTGGTATTCACCTTGACAGAGAAGACCTGATTTACAGCTTGTTTTTTCCCTAATAAAATATGGACAGTAACTTAGGGAAAAGCACGGAGGAGTCTCTTGTTCCTGATAACAGTGGAAGTTTCTTTAGAGTCCATGAACCTATTTAATATATTTAAAGTTTTTAGAAGGCATACATTTTAAATATGTCAATGCCCTATTCTTCCAATTGCAATTTATCTTAACTTGTGGAAAAATTCTGAAATCCAGAGAAAAAAATGAATTACCCAATTCTTCCTATAGAAAAAATGTTTTAAGATAATTTAAGAATCACATGTATATATGGACAATTTTAGTTTATATGTTCCACTCTATTATTTTGTGAACTAATTAAACTGGATGAAGAAAGTGCCCACATTGATAAGAACAGTGAACATTTATTAAGCTCTAATTATGTGCCAGACACTATTTTAAGGGTTTTACAAATATTACTTCATTTAATAGTAACATAAATCCTGTGAGATGAGCATTTACTATTATCATCATCTTCATCGTGTAGAGAAGGAAACGAAGTCAGGAGAAGTCAGAACTTCCCCAAGTAACTTACAAAGATGCTAAGTGGTAAGGACGGAAACTGGACCTGGGCAGTCTGGCGGTACTGCACAAGTCAGTAACAACAAGTAACACTCGCCACCAATTTCAGTGCCCACATTAAAGTTCTGAAAAACGCTATATAAAAAGCAGACCAGGCTATGATATAACTTCCTATATGAGGAACACAAAGATACGTATTATTACACTTGGGTAGGTGGCAATTTAAGAATATTTAGTTTAATTATATGAATAGTTTCCTCTCTCTTAAAAGGCTATGGTCAGTTAATGTATAATGATGTTTTCCCAGATACGATCTGTGAGGGAATTGTGAAGTACTATAAATCAGTAAGATAAACATCTCTGTAATTACAATTGCTTTTTAAATAGTAGTTATAAATCAATTATATTTTACAATTTGAAAGATACCCTCCAACTGTTTTAGTTTATTAACTATACCTTCGTAATCAGAAAAGTATAGTCTAAAAGATTTATATAAGAAAGAAATTAAAATAGAATTAGAGAATAAAAATGATAATAGAGTAATGGTCAGGAACCAATAAGGCTAGAAAATATTCTTAAATATGTAAAAGCTACACCATTATGTTTCTGCCCCATCACACAGTACACAACTGGATACTGCTCAACGCCATAAAACATGCATCAAAAAACATGGTATGTCAATGACTTTCTTTCCAATATTCCCTCCTCCTCTTCCAAAGAAGAGGTTCATTATAATCTGAGCCAAGAGATGCATCTGTTTACATACCTCAAACATTCTAGCAGCAGTACACCTCACAAGTGCTGAAGTATGGACAACACCATACCACAAAACGGTTAACAGTAACTCATGGTAGGCAGGATTTGCACTGGAAGAGAAACATCAATGTTAAAAATCAAAGCTATAATACTTAATGGTATACTGAAAAATTATATGATTTTTATAATGAATATCAATGATAAAAATATCAATATATATATATGGAATTGCCCTATATGGTTGAACAGGTCAAATACAAGATTATCTAAAAAAGTAAGTGATTTTGTAAAATCACAAACTTCAGCATATTCAGAAATTACACTTTTAGCTTCTGTAAGTATTTATTTACAATTGTGGTAGAAATTTCAACTCAAGTAGCAAAAAAGTTAAAACTATAAAAAAGGAAGAAAATTCAAACTCCTATATGAGAAAAAAGGCCTAAGAGTCAGATGGGTTAAGTTACAACCATTGTAGACCTTAATTTCTTTATCTATACAAAGCAAATTACATCATGTGGTAGTTGTAAGAACAATTAAGCAATTGGAATCATCGACATGGATGGGCCTGTTGGCTGTGAAGTCTGTTCAAATATAAGATGGCATTATAAATACATGCATTAGCCTGTTTTCAGTAAAGACTGAAATGAAAATGGCTTTGGCAGCCAGGTGATGCGTTTATGAACAGGACAAAGGAAACCAAAAAGGACAAGGAGCCCAACATGCTGGCTTGCACTTGGGGCTCCTTTATCAGTTCTGGGAAACTAAATTTCCTTCACATTTATGCTGGATTTTATTTCTCCAAATAACTGTATTCTTTCCCCTATTTTTAAATTATAATGTATTTATTCAAGGATATTAACAATGTACAAATAAGCAAAACCAAAAACCATCTTAAGTGTCAAAACCTAGAGATATGGTATATAGATCAATCCTAGACTTAAAACATATACTCTAGAATTTCAATTTATAAATTTTGTATGTCTTTAAAAATCTCTAAGCTGTTATTTTTACCCCAGTTCCACAAAAGAAGCTTTCAGGCTATCGAGAGGAGCATGAGATAATGAAAGCAGAGTCATTACATCTTCCAAGAATCCAACTAACAGTTTTCGGTCTTCTTCCTACAGAGGAAAAAGACTGATAATAAATTTCCAAGCAATCAAGCAGAACTGAAAACCATAATTACCTACAATTAGAAAATGTTACCAGTTAATGGGAAGGTATACTAGTTTGGAAGCTATTTTAATGACAGATATTATCCAAGCATAACTATGATCAGAATTGTAAGATGGCGAAGCACATTTTGATCCTTGGATTTAGAACTGCACTGTCCAATATGGTAGCCATGAGCCTCATGCAGCTATGAGTTTATTAAACTAGTAAGAAGTATGTTAAAAAAATTTCAGTTTCTTAGTCGCACTTACAATTAAAGTGCTTAATAGGCCAGTAGCTAGTGTTACCTTACTGGACAGCTCAGATATAAAATATTTCCATCATTACAGAAAGTTTTATTGGAGAGTAATGACTTAGCACACTAAAAATGATATTATCTTATTAAAACTTACTTAACCAATTTTAATTCTCATGAGTCTGTTTTTTTTTTAAAATATTTATTGTGATTTGGGTGAAAATTTACAGAGCAAATTCTTTTTCCATATAGCAGTTCACACACATTTTGTTTCATGACATTGACTACTGTCTCCACAACGTAATAGCTCTCTTCCCCCTTCCTCCCTGTAGTTTCCTCTTCTCTGTGACCTTCCTTCCAATGCATTCCTGCCCCCTGAGCTATTTCCCTTTGGAAATACTGCCCTTCTGTCCTCCCCTAATTGATCATTCTAAGGAGTGTATCTACCCGGTGTAAATATTCACTATCTACATATGCCTGTCTATTGTCTGACTGGAAGCCACTGGAGTGAGTTCAATTCCAGGCCTGAAGGCTAATTAGGGGCCACGGTCTTGGGGGTTTCACAAGCTTAGTCCGACCAGTAAGCCTTGTCTTTTTTATGATTTTGAGTTTAATAAATTCCCATGAGTTTTGACTCTAAGTACCTAAACACAAACTAACAAAATAAACCCACCCACCATCGTCACTGAATTGACACAGCAACCCTACAGGAGAGAGCAGAACTGCAGCTTAGGATTTCTAAGGCTGTAAATATTTATAGAAGCAGCTGCCTCATCTTTCTCCTATGGAGTAGTTGCTGGGTTTGAACCCCCAACCTTTTATTTAGCAACCCAATGCTTTAGCCACAGCACCTTAACTAAAAAAACAGTTATCCCTAATTTTAGAAAACTGATTTCTAAGAAATTATCTTTGCAGTATCCTAGTAGTAAGAAACTTCTTGCTTGATGACATATAGACTACTGTGGTATTAAAAGAAATTGTTATATTTCTGAATCCTTGTTTTTTAATCTTTAAAGGAGACCTGGTAACACAGTGGTTCAAGCATTTGGTTAAAAGGCAAAAAGTCAGCGGTTTGAATACACCAGCCACACCACAAAGGAAAGATGTAGTAGTCTGCTTTTGTAAAGATTTGCTGCCTTGGAAAGCCCACGGGGCAGTTCTACTCTGTCCTATAGGGTTTCTATGAGTCAGAATGCATTCATCGGCAGTTGGTTCAGTTTTCAGTCTTTACCTCTCAAACTTTCTTCAATGAACTATTACTTTCATAATTATAAGGGTTTTTTTTTTTTTCTTTTTTTTTCCTTTCAGCTCTGGTGGCATTGTGCCTAAGGCATTTGACTGCTAACCAGAAGGCTGGCGGTTCAAACCCACAGCCACTCCCTGGAAGGCTGGGCAATCTACTTCTGTAGTGATACTGCCTCGGAAACCCAAGGAAGGATGGCTATGAGTCGGATCCGACTCCATGGCAGTGAGTTTTGGTTTGGTTCTCTCTTTTACAGAGTATTCTATTAAACAATGTGCTAGAGAAAAACTAAGCCTGCTGAGTTCGGAGAGTTAAAAAATAATTTTGTATATTAAATTAACCTGAGCCTATTAAGGGAGGGTAACCTGAAATTATATGATGAAATGAATATATATGAAAATAAATAAAAATCAATGTTTTTTAAAAAACTAGGAACCTAAGAAGTCAACAATAAAAAATGTTTTCAATATATCAACAAATTCATGACAAAAATTTTATTACGACCTTCAATTTTTTTCTATATAATCAGGTTAGTTTAGAATCAGGTGGAGATGAACAACTGATAAAGGTAATCATCAGCATGAATAATGAAATGGACACAGCAATTCTAAAACATGAGTCTACTCAGTGAGAAGGCTTAGACACTGATAAATCAGTTTCATAGTGAAGTTGGAGTAGAGATGCCATCCATTTTTGAACACCTATTATGTAAAACATAGGGAAGACATACCTTTGGCAAACAAATTATAAATATGAAAAAACCCAAGACTGAAAAATAAGAGTTACACAATTGACTTTTAAATGGGCACAAAGGATTCTTCTAATTTTAAAAAATTTACTGAATACTTCTAAATTTTAAAATCTGAAAACAAATTCCACTTATATCCTTGATTCAAAATAGTTCTTTTGTTTACCAAAAGCAAACAGGGCTATGATTTATCCTATCAGAAAGTATTTTTAGTAAGAAAAATATTAATTGCTGGTGTGTGCTTCTAAAACTGGGTAACACCAGCAATTTTTGATAGCTACCGCAATTTAGTATATGTTTTATAACAATAACCTGAAAAGTTCCTACCTCTTTAGAGATATGAAATACATTTGGACTTCCTGTGGTGAGTCAAAAGACATATTCTTAATTATTCATTTATTTTAATAAATCTATCCTAAGAACCTACTATGAGCCAAACCTTGTATTAGATAGTTTATTATGTTTTTAAATGGTATTTATGGTGAAATATGTAAAGTCAAAATACCAACAAAAGTTTCAGAGGTTAAAGAGGGAGAGAGGTAGAAATAATGACAGCACATTTATTATGCTAAAACAGTACACAGCAGGGCTTAATAATCCTGATCTCTATGAATTTAAGAATAAAACTAGAGTTAATCTATGACATTTACATGACTGAAAATATCCTATATGCGAAGATTCTGTATATATCCACATTATGAGGTATCTCGTTGTTGTCGTCATTGTTATTTGCCATCGAGTCAGACCTGACTCATAGCAACCCCTTCTTGGGTTTCCGAGGCGGTATCACTATGGAAATAGATTGCCCAACCTTTCTTCCGAGGAGTGGCTGGTGGGTTTGAACCATCAGCCTTCTGGTTAGCAGTCAAATGCCTTAGGCACCACACTACCAGAGCTCCTATGAGGCAGTCTTAGAAACCACAAAAGCGTACTGGGCTACTTTAAAAATCAGAATTGGAGCTTCTACTATAAGGTCTCATGTCATACTGTAGACTATATTTTAACAATTTAATGATTCAAATTTATTTGAAGCATGCAATAAATATGAAGTGCTGTACTTGGGTTTCAAAGGACAAAAGAAATAAGTTAGGTATTAGCAGGTGTTATGAACAGAATGTTGTTGTTATGAGCCATCAAGTCGGTTCCGACTCATAGCGACCCCTCCTTGGATTTCCGAGGCGGTATCACTATGGAAGTAGATTGCTCAACCTTCCTTCCGAGAAGTGGTTGGTGGGTTTGTATCGCAAGCCTTATGGTTAGCAGTCAAGTGCCGTAGGCACTACACTACTAGAGTTCCCATGAACAGAATAGTGTGCCCTAAAATGATACACTGAAGTCCTAACCCCTGGAATCTATGAATGTGACCTTGTTTGAAAATAGTTTTCTGAAGATGTTATCAGTCAACACGAGGTCATACTAGGGTAGAGTGGGGTCCTAAACCAATCTGAGGAGAGACACAGAGATAGAGAGGGAAGAGGGTCATGCGATGGACAAAGTTTTGCTGTAGCCACAAGCCAAAGAGAGCATTGATGGTTTGGTAGAATTCACCTTCCCTGTGGGAGATCTGGGGTCAATTCCTAGACAAGGCACAGCCACCACCTGCTTGTCAGTGGGCTTGTGTGCTGCTGTGATGCTGAACAGGTTTCAGCGGAGCTTCCAGACTAAGACAGACCAAGAAGCAAGGCCTCAGGGACCACTTGCAGAAATCAGCAGACGGAAACCTTAGGGATCACGATGGTTCACCTGCAACCAGTCATGAGGGTGCAGGAGTGGACAGGACTGGGTAGCATTCCATTCTGTTCTGCATGGGGTTCTCATGAGCTGGGGCTGACCAAACAGTAGCTAGGAATAGCAGCAGCCAAGTGATGTCTGCGGCTACCAGGAGCCAGAGAGACGAGAAAGGATCTTCAGCCAGAGCCTTCTGAGAGAAAGTACAGCCCTGCTGACACCCGGAACTTGGACGACTGGCCTCTAGAGCTGCGAGGCAGCACATTTCTATTTTGATTCCAGTTACCATCAAGTACCAATGGTTACCACAGAGTTGATTCCACCTCATTGTAACCCTCATATGTTCAGAGTAAACCGGCCCTCCACAGGGTTTTCAAGGGCTGTGACCTTTCGGAAGTAGAGCATTTAGGGCCTTCCTCTGGCGCACTGATCAGTGACTCAAATGCCAACCGTCTAGCTCATAATCAAGTGCTTAACCGTTTGTACCACCCAAGGACCCCCTTCTGTTCTTGTAAGCCACTCCATTTGCAGTGCTTTGTTATGGAAGCCCTAGGAAGCTCTATGGTAACTGGAATCAAAATAGTTTCAAGAAATCACCAAAGTATGAGTTCTTTCTTTACTCCTGCATTTTAACTTCTAAATATGCTTTATCGATAGAGTCCCTGTTTTCACTTCACTGCTGGGATTGCCTCAATCTTAAAAAGGACAGGGTAATTTTCAAAATTTTAATAACTAAAATGCCACATGACTAAATCCAAAGAGAAGGTTTTATCACAAGTTAAGATATTAACTGGGATCAATGTTCCTTAAAAATATACTGTAATAATTTTAGAATGCAAATGTGTGTTGTTACACATCCTGTATGAAATTTACTTAAAACAATGTACAGGCAGTGTTCTGGTTACCTAGTGCCGCTCTGATGAGAATATACCACAAATGGGATGGCCTTAACAAACAGGAGTTTATTCTCTTACAGTTTGGGAGGCTAGAAGTCCAAGTTCAAAGTGCCAGGCTCCAGGGGCTGTGTGAAAGCCCCTCAACCTTGGGCTTCAGCTCTGCCTCTTGCTCCCAGCCCACTGAAGCTAGAGGCATCTCCTCACTCAGGCAGCTACTGGCTGCTGAGGTTAACAAGCCCAAGGTCGACAAATAAAATGGCACAGTTCCAATGTTACCAAACCACACGGCAAGCCATTAATTCAAGTCCACTGAAAGTCCCAAAGTCAACAGAGCATGGCAAGCTGCTGAACAACGACATGGCTACATGAGGGTCCAAGCATGCCATAAACTAGAGACTATCCCCAAGGCTTCTCCTTATATACAGGAAGCAGACCACATCCCAAAGGCAGCTACTCAGCTGGTTGTGGTAGATCTCACCATGGAGTTGATTACCAGTCTCATCATGGGGAATAACTACCACCAGCTGCCCAGCCACTCAACCAGGCCCAGCCAAGTTGACATACAAATTTAACTACCACAGGCAAAGAGACTATGGGTTTGGTTCAATATCATTGCAATAAGCAACTATCTCAAAAGTCAATCACACAAATTCTTTGGTTTCCCAGTGCATATACAAGTTATGTTTACATTACAATGTAGTCTACTAACTGTGCAACAGCATTATGAAAAAGGTGCAAATATTGTGAGAATTACCAAAATGTCACACAGAGACTCAAAGTGAGCACATGCTGTTGGAAAATAGTGCCAATAGACTTAGTCAACGCAGAGTTACCATAAACCTTCAACCTGTAAAAACACAATATCTGCAACATGCAATAAAGCAAAGAGCAATAAAATGAGATACCAGTAAAGTGAGGGTGATGGTCTGCTACATACACAGGTGGCCACCAATGAACTACATCTTCTGATTAACACTCTTGCTTATTTCATCCTCTTTTTAAATCTGAGCTGGGCCTGGGACTTGTTTTAACCAATAGAATGCTGTAGAAGCCATGCTGTGCTAATTCCAGGCTTAAAGCATGGCCTGACAAATTCTGCTTTGGCACTCCTGGGAGCCCAAGTGAGTATGTAAGAAGTTTGGCTCTGCTGATCAGGAGGCCACGTGGAGAGAGAGAAAGGCCTTGTCACAACATGCAGAGTGAAGCCCAGTCATCTGTGCTGAGACCTAGCTGACCAGTCAACTTAATGAAGCAATACGGAAACCACCAGCATGACCAGCAGAAGAGATGCCCAGCTGAGCAAAGCCCAGACTAGGAACCAGGAACAAATAAAATGGTTTAGTGAGCCTGATGCTTGGGGTAGTTTATTAGAGTGCCACAGTTAAAAAACCAGTTACAAAGTATCTGCTAAAAATAAAGATAAAGTACAGTATTCTACAGCATTTTGCTTCACCCAACAAGCGTCCTGTTTGTTATTTATGAAGAACTCATCATGGACGGCAACCAACCAACCAAACAACTGGTTTTGAGTCAACTACAACACAAACTCTGCTAAATAATGCAATCTAACACTTGTAACCAAGTATCAGAAAGCAAAAAAATCTCTTAAATTTATTCATTCAATTGAGATTGTACTCAGGGTCTTATTAAAATATGCTCCCCATTATAAATTATTTATTGAATAAAACGAAGAAGCTATTTTTTTTCTTTCATGGGTAACATTTTCACTTACATACACATTAAATATACATAATACCAAAACTCTCACTGCCATGGAGTTGGATCTGACTCACAGCGACCCCTCCTTGCGTTTCCGAGGTGGTATCTCTACAGAAGTAGATTGCCTCATCTTCCTTCCGAGGAGTAGCTGGTGTGTTTGAACTGCTACCCTTCTGGTTAGCAGTCAAATGCCTTAGGCACTACACCACCAGAGCTCCTCCTTAAATATACATAATAGGTAAGTATATTACTAAACAGAAAGTACTTTTACTGGAAAATAGTATTTTATCCCATACCTGAATATAACATGTAAGGACTCCTGTTGCATAAATGGGGACTGTAGCTTTAGTGAGGACCCCATTTCCTGCTGAGGAATCTGAAATAATTAAAATAATTTAAAAAGTCTGAGTATATCATTTTGAATATGAAGAAAAATATCATAATGTAATTATACTTAAAACTACAATTATTTACTAGGTTTATAAATAAATTTTATTACTTTGGAAAGTACTGTGATTAAAACATATTTCTATAGCTGTAAAACCAAGAACACTAATACATGTTTTCCTTTTCAAATGTACTTGCTAGTTCATTTATACAATTTACATATACTGAATACAGCACTTTTTCCTAACTAAAGAGATTCAACTGTTTTAAAAAGTAACAGTGAATAACTTACCAATGTTTTCTTCAGATAGTCTTAAAATCTCCTGGAACTGAGGTTTTACCTAAGTAATCCAAAGGAAAGACCCAAAAAGTCTCAGGTGCAATGGCCTAATTGATGATTTCACAAATACAAGGTTTATTACTTACTACTCTCTTTCTTTATTTTGTCTTACAGAGCATTAATTCAGGTGGTCAGAAATATAATCATTCTTAATTTTGAGAGTTAGGATAAAAGAAGAGTTCAGTTACTAAACATAGCACTTTTAAAAATAAAATTTTCACGGACTTTTAAAAATCAATTAAAGTCAACAAGTATTTAGTTCCCTCCACTAAGTTAAAACAATTTCCAAGATGACTATAAATGCTTCAAATACTGCCTCCTAAAAGTGAATGTGGAGGTACAAAGTATTATTTAGATGATTTACATGATTAGAATTATGAAAAAAATATGACTGAATTTAAAGGGAATAAAAAGGAAATTTCATTCAAGGCAGTCTATTAGTAACAGTTATTATGTGATACCCATGACTACATCTAGTCTTTTAGATAAACTTCCCTAAAATTTAAATTTCAATACCAAGTAGAGACTTTCATATTTTAAGTTGGAGCAAGTGCATGTTTCAATTTTTTATCACTGATGTTACCAAAGATTTCAGATTATGGTGCCGACTGCTTACTATTCAGTATTCAATGCTTAAGTGGGCTCTGATTTACTTTTCTACTTCTTCTAGAGATGCCAAAAAAATTCTTGCCAATATTCCTAACAGTAAAATTAAATTATATTCATGTATCTATTAGAGTCTAGTGAAAATGTAATATTATTTTGGTTCTTCTGCAGTGACATCAAGTAGTTCTTGTCTTCTTATAGGTACAACAGGGATACTATACTTAAAATTCATATATTCAACTTAAACTGAGGGGTAGTCCATTGTTAAAAGATCAATCTAGAGAGTCTAACTTATAGATCGGACACTGAGGCCATGTCTCCATTTCATATGCGAGAAGATTAAGCCCAGATTAATTAATTAATTTACTGAAGGTCACAAACATTAGTCAGCAGATATGAGCAGACAACCCTAGTCTCATGCTTTTTGTCCAGTCAACTATGCCATACTGTTGTTGTTGTTGTTTGTTGTGGAGTTGGCCATACTATATTGCTTTCAATATTTCAGTAACTACAGATTTAACAACAAACACATGTACTACCTTTGAAATGTCTTGATCAATGTCTGATAACAGCAGCCATATCTGTTTTTATTAAGTCTCTAAAGAACTAGCTTAACAATATGCTGAGACAAATGGATTAATGGATTAAAGAAGAAATTGGGATCTACGGACATTCTAATTTCAGTATCTAAAGTTACAAAATAACCAGGATGGGCAACTGTGACAAATGCTACTTCTGGTAGTGATGGGAAGAGGCAGGATTCATCTCAAGAGTCCATGTATTTCCAAGAGATAACAGCTTCACAGCAAGTCTTATATATAAACTGCTGTGGTTCCATAATCGCCTGAGGTTTTGAACAAATGTCCTGAGGAAACAGCTGTTTCCTGAGCCTGTGGTAGTGGGTAAAGGAGCAGCAGCACATCCCAGGCACTGTGGCTGGGTTCCTGAGCTGATACCACTTATCAGCTACCAGAGATGATCTCTGAAACATCACAGTGAGTCAATGTTATTTCCAAGTTTGGATATAAACTTAAGTTTAGGCTAAATCATCTTACAGTAATCAACAAAGAATATAACCAACTGGAATTTTCTTTTACTATTATATAAATTCTATGTCATTAAAAGATAATTAAAGGAAAGCCTCACGCTTTTATTTACTCTGTTACAGCATTAATTAACACAGTACATTTTTATGTCTCCAGCACATGAGAAAATGGAACACAAGTTTTTACCTTAGTGTTTGTAAAAATTTTGCCAAACGTCCGGCAAAGGCGCCAAAAAAATCTTGAGAATTCATGGACACAGGCAGTTGAAGTGACATTAATTTTGCCAACTATTTCTATAAGTTGTGGCAACCTGAACATGAAAGGAAAGGAAAGCGGGCGGGTGCACATAAATTAGTGCCTCCTTGCGCATTTCTGAAGCAGCATAATTCACCCCCCACTTTGGTTTTGCTCTTTGTACCCAACAAAATTTGAAAGCAAAGGTGTTGTTCTGAATTCTTTGAAAAGGACTTAAGATTACAGGTTACTCTATAAATTTCTTCAAATCAATTCCAATTGTTTTGCTATAAAGTATCTGAACCTTAATGCTACAGTTCTGAGTGTGATATTAGTGATACTGAAATCTATGCATTTGAATCCACTTAAGGTTCACACAAAAGAAAAACACCACAGCATCCATTTTGGCCTCAAAAATGAGAAGTCAAGATGTGTGCTAGGTCAAATTCATCACAACTGCTGGACCAACAAGGGAGCAGAGAGACTGGCATAACCCAGCAGCACTATCTTTATAAACAAATAACAACATATCCAGTGGTGGGAACCTCCTCTCCAAAGAGGCTGACTACAGATGATGCCGGGTTGTATTTTGTTAAGTTAGTTATATCTGCCCCTCAGTGATACAGCTAAATACGATGACCTATTATTCATTCAACTGATTTAGATGCATCAAGTAAGTATGGAAATAGGTAACTTACAATTGATTGACAACCCATAGTAAACTCTCCCAGCCTGTTGTACCCTCATGTTCCAACTGGTACTCATAAAGCTGTAATAGGACTGCCAATTGCTCACGGCTTCCAATAATAGTAGACACATCTTGAAGAGGCGACATAGGCCGTGGGAACCTAGTCACTATAAATAATAGAAGCAAAATAAATCACAGGGAAAATGACAGTTTGGGAACTTAGCTATTGTGTCAAAAGGAAAAGAAGCCCTATGCTCTTGATTTTTAATTCGTTTCTTCAATAAACTTAAAAATTTTTAGAAAATAATGTATATATGAAATGAATTCTGGTCACATGGGAATAAATCTAACAAATAAACACATACTGCAATGAAATAGCTACTAAAAAAGAATAAAAGTCATTTAAATTAAAATTAACCCAAATATAAATTCTTAGTGAAAATACAGATTTGAATTTGATTTAAATAAAAATATCTGTAATTCCATCAGACTGTATCTATCAATGAAAAAGTAAATATGATGAAATATCTTTCTTCTTCAAGGATTAAGAAACTAATAGATTAACAGCTGAGAAAAATCTATTTTAGGTACCAGAGAATAATGATATAAAATACAATAATGCTTCAGCTGAACAGATCTCATTAGTATTTAATCTCCATGCTTTATTTTTTAAAATTTCCATTGTTTCATAAACATTAAGTTAATATAAAATGTTAAAGCCAGTGACTGGTAATATAATGCAAGGTATACTTATAAATATAATGACCATGGTCTCATATTTTTAAAGTTTGAGAAGAAATTTAAAAAAATTCACTCCCAAAACTGCATAAATAAAACTTAACTACTACTAGTATACTTCAAAAGTATAAATAGTAACTAGACCTTAGATTAAGGGAATCCTTTTTCGATGGCTATTAAATGGATAAGGCATGCTAACTAATCATTAACCAAAGAAACTACTAATGGACCAGCAACTCCTACATAAAGGCAACCACCCTGAAAAGGTACAACAAGCATGCACTATCTTCTCAAACATATTGATGATTATTAAACATGAGAGAATCTGAAAAAGTACATAATTTAAAAAATGCTCAGACCAAAGCCAAAATTAACATGTTGTTGCCTTCCTCTGATACACCAAGATTTTAACAATAAGTTAAGAACAAATACATATAGTTTATCATTTGATCTCTGAACTAAAGAATTAAGCAGATTCAGATAAATTTTTCGATAATTCTCTTGCTCTTTACTTCTCCTATTTGCTAACATAATAAACAAACTAATTTGGGTAACTGGTATCCTTCTCTCACTATCTCAGCTCTGTACCTCAGCTCCCACTATCCTGATCCAGGAATGTAATAAATTTGGACGGTGAGAGAGTTGGGCTCCACATTTCTATACCATGTCAAAACAAAGTGCATGTTAATCTAAACACGAGTCCATCATATTAGCCCTAGCCTGCTATATTAAGGTGGAATGAATGTTACACCTTCAAAAATAATGACAATTTATTGAAAAATAACACAGAAGTTAAAAATAATATAAATACGTTGACATTTACTGTAGGAAGAGTGATGTCCAAAGATCTCAGGCTAGGTCGATAGAAGAAAAATGGCACCAGAAAACAACTTATTAGTTGAATAGCTCAGTTATTACAGATAAGCAATGAGAATGTTTCAGGAGCCTTAAAACATTATTCTATGTAACAGTGACTTGAAAAAAAATTGTGAGCATCTAGTATAAAATGATACATAGAGGTTCAAAGAATGCCACTTTAATTAGGCTGGCCAAACACCAGGATTTTATTGTCAACAAAATAACTACAGTTATTCAGCAAAATAACAGCTCTTATGAATTGTTAAGTGAATTTTCCTCCACAAGAATGTAAGCTCTGTGATGGCAGAGATTTTATCTGTTTTGTTCATAGCTGTATTACGATTGCATGCCAAATGCCTAAAACAGTGCCTGACATAAGTATTACTTAACCTTATGAAATCAATTGCTAAGAAAATATTTGTGTGGGTTTCTATCATTTATGGAAAAACAAGTAATCCTCATTTCCAATAAATTATACCCCATTTTATGTATGTGTATGTGTGTATATACATATACTCACAGGTACAGAGATGTATATCCTATAAAGGAGGATGTAATAATTCCTAATTTACTCTAAACAATGAGTATAATAACATGAACTTTTACATTGTTGTTACTGTTATGTGCCATCGAGTTGGACCTGACTCATAGCGACCCCTCCTTAGGTTTCCGAGGCAGTATCACTACAGAGTTGATTGCTCAACCTTCCTTCCAAGGAGTGGCTGGTGGGTTTGAACCACCAGCCTTCTGGTTAGCAGTCAGGTGCCTTAGGCACTACACTATCAGAACTTTTATAGTTACTGATAAAGTCAGGCAGCCAAATTAAGTCAAGAAGAAATGAAAATTAAAGATTATTTTTGGTATGATGATGACAAAATGACAAGAAAGGTCACATAAACACTAGAAGGAATTTGTGCAGAATGGATTAAATTAAAGTAGCTGTTTTTAAACTTCTCTATCTAATTAATCTCCAGTACATCTACTCCTCACTTATCAACTATCTTTTTATCTGACATTTCACATTAACAACAGTAAAATGTACTATCCAACAATTCTGTGCATTAATGGCATGTATCTGCCAGTAACAAACAGAGGTGTGAGACGAGAGTAATGCTGATTTTGATGTTTAAGACTGTTTCCACTTGGCTAGGCGATGATTCTCAGTGGTTTGGCAGCTATGTAATGATGCAGTCAGTTTTGGTTACCTAGTGCTGTTCTAATAGAAGACAGCACAAATAGATGGTTTTAACAAACAGGGCTTTATTCTCTTAAAGTTTTGGGGGCTAGAAGTCCAAGTTCAAAGTACCAAGCTCTAGGGGCTGGGTGAAAGCCCCTCAACCTTGGGCCTCAGCTCTGCCTCCTGCTCCCAGCCATTGCAATGAAGCTGTAGGCTTCTCTACACTCAGGAAGCTGCTAGCTGCTGAGGCTGACAAACCCAGAGTTGACAAGTAAAAAGACACAGTCCCAATATTACCAAACAACACATTAGGCCACTAATTCAAGTACAGAAAAAAGTCCCAACATTGGCAGGGCACGGCAGGCTGCAGAACAACGACTCAGCTACATGCAGGGTTTAAGCATGCCAAAAAACTGCAGACCATTCCCAAAGCTTCTCTTTATATATGGGAAGCAGATAGCATCCTTCAAGCAGCTACTCAGCCATGCAGTTGATTTCCAGTTTCATCATAGGGAATAACTACTACCAGCTGCCCAGCCAGTCAAAACCAGGTCCAGTCAAGCTGACATACACCCTTAACTACCACAGTCATTCTCCATTTCCACATAATGCCGATTTCCACGTAACGACTTGGTCTTTGGAACTTAACCATATTGATAAGTGAGGAGTAGGTGTACAATGCTTGGCAATAGCTGACATTCCATAATTATGTGATAAGTAAATAAATAAACCAATAATAAGAAGGCAGAAAGAGAGGGAATTACAAAGAGAGGAAAATCCCTAGGCAGATGAAGTGCCTTTGTTGAGTAGAGGGATGGAAACTGAAGTGGCTAGCTGTGAATTCTCTGTGAAATCTTATCTTAAAATGTGAATTTTCATCCTCCTCAATAATATAATTTAAAAGTATTAAATGCATTCCATCCATCTGCTCTCAGTTCTTCAAGAAAATTGACATTCCAATTCCTTGGACACAGTGCTCCACTCCAAAGATTACAGATAGATCACAGTTTCTTTGAAAACTGCATTCTAATATAAAGGGTTTGCTGACACTCTCAATAAGGAGTCCAGGTGGTGCAGTGGTTATAGTGCTTAGCTACAAACTATAAGGTCAGCAGTTCAAACCAACCAGCCACTCCACAGGAGAAAGATGAGATGTAGCATTTTGCTTCTATAAAGATTACAGCTTTGGAAACCCATGGAGCAGTTCCATTTTGTCCTAGAAGGTTGTTATGAGTGGCAATCAACTTGATGGCAACAGGTTTATGGGATGCTCTTGATGTTATAATTCATTGTCTATCAGAAGCTAGATGCTCTGGTGGCATAGTAGATAAGGTACTTGTCTGCTATCCAGAAGGTCAGTGGTTCAAACCCAGCTGCTCCACGGAAGGAAGACAGGGCAATCTACTTCAGTAAAGATTTACAGCCTCAGAAACCCAGTGGGGGTTGCTATGAATTGATGGCAGTGAGTCTGGTTTTTCTTTTTTTTTTTATCAGAAGCTAGTAGGAGGCATGGATAATTCCATAAATGTGAAAAAGCTCCAAAGGGGTCTGAGGCATAGCAATGGCTTGCTTAAAGCCATTTATCTTGGGGAGGTGAGTGTAGTAGGGTTGTCTATTACCATGTATCAAAGGTCACTTACTAGTAAGTTGGACAGCGGGATAAGCAAATACTAGGGTCTGCTATCTATTTCATATATTTTTTTAAATAAGTCAACTTATTTACTTTGGAATATGGAAAAAAATTGAAAATAGATTCTTTTGCATGTACTTATGATCCCTCCATCAAACACATAGTAGGAAAAAGCAATTACATTCAAAGAAAGAGGGTTGAAGAAGAAAATATAAAGAAAGTGGAAGTGACAAAGTTCACATATTAGTAACATTTAAATGAGTATTTTCATTGACCCAGAGCTATGAATGGAAGGAAATGCTTATTCCAGCCCTTGAAAAAAGACTATTTTAATGATACCATAGGGACTATGCATTAAAAATGGAAAGAAAGTACAGATACTATAAAACAATAAAAGGAGCTTATCCATAAAGACAAAGCCAAGGAGTTCACTTTAGATATTATACCATCTATGACTTTGAGACTCCACACACATAATACATTTTAGTAATTATGCTCTTCTAAAGTGGTTTTTAGAGTTTCAATCAGAAACAACTCTTTGGGAAGCTAAGCTGCCAAGATTCTACATCTTCCTTCCAGAATCTCAGGTCAGTACCTTCTATCTGTGGCACTTCACCATGCAGCTTGGCTTTGCTCGTGAAAGGTGCATGCTGGAGCACCAGTGCAAAGAGTGAAGGGATCAAGGACTGCAAGGCGGAAAGGTACATGTGGAGCTTATGTTCGTCAAGCCCGTGTTCTCCTTCCTGAAATACAAGCATGGAAAAGCTGATTTCAATCTTCTGAAATAACACTGCTGATTTTAACAGTTAATGAAAATGTCCATGACTCTTTTCTACATTTCTCAAAGTATGTGAAAATACGAAGAAGCACTGAGGCAGCACAGAACAGGATCTTTTATGTGGAAATTTTAAGGTGGACATCAGTCATTTCCATTTGCAGGGAACATCTTTTACAAATTTTGGGTTTTTTTTTTTTTTTGCATTTGAGAGGGTTCTATTTATGAAATTTTTAAAGTCAGAGTTAAGATGTTAACGTGAGCTACGGGAATCATCACAAATTCTCAATTGTTCAACGATAACAGTCCTGGCTACTTCTCTCCTTGTAAAGATTGGGCTATATTTTTATTTGCCTGTACTGAACACCTTAACACAATTCAATGCATAGATAAAATGAAATAGAAGAAACTTCAAAAGGAATCAAAAGAAAGAGAAAAACAAAAAGTAAAAGAGTCACTATGATACACAGAAAACTCAATAGAAAAGTAAAAAAATCATTAGAGAATCAGCGATGAAAGTGTATGTTGCTGTCCAAATCCACTGGAGATGTCATCACTACATTGTAAATGACTAAGTTGCTGTATCACAGGTGGGAGCTATTTACTACCAAGTTCTAAATTAATTTCTTTATGGAAAAATTACAATCTATGCTGGATACAAGTATTTTTAGTAGTGATGTGGAATTGTTGTTGTTGTTGTTAA